CCTGGTTATTTTCTATGTCTTCTCTCCCACTGCACAAAAAATAATGGAAAATTCCTGTTTTGGTCATACATAAGAGGGACATTAGTTTGGGTCCATTAATGCATGTCCTAGAATTCAAAATTGTTCCAAAAATATTGTGCCATACGTGCTAAAAGGGTTCTTTTATAATAATTGATCCTCCTGTCAGAATTTTCTGCTTAATTTCGTGAGCTAAATAAGTGACTTTAAACACAACAGTCATTGTTGCTACACATTTACTGCCTCAGTCTGACTTAAGCAATAGGTGGAAAATCTATTTTGCAGGAGAGCCCTTGGCAGTGTTTGGGTGCATTGGCTTGATACTCTGAATAGGGTGCAAAGGTCTGGGGACCGAATAAACCCTGGGTCTGTGGCTGTTTGGGGTTGGAGAAAACCTGTGTTGGAGGGAAGGGAGGGAGGTTTTAAGGAAATGAAGATGTTAATTTATGATAAGGATAAGGATTTATTTCAATTGTTTGCTGTTAAGGCTAGATGTTCATTATACAAAGTAAAACAAACTGCAGGCAGCTCTAGTAGCAGGTTTTGTCTAGGGGCAACACTGAACAGAAAGACTTTTAATCACCACCGGTTTGACAGGCAGAGGAGCATAAAGTTAGAAACAGCAGATCAGCTCTCCTTCCTCATCCACAGTCCCACAATCCAGACTTTCATTGTACTGCTTGTGTTCTGATTCCATTGATCCTTGAAAGGTTGCGCTGCTGATTGGTCAGGGCAGCTTCTGTATTAAGAGATCAGAGCTGGCTTTCTCCCCAGTCTCTGCGGATGGATTTGGTGTCAAGGGCAAGGAAAGGCAGCTGCTGCAGACTGAGAGGCACCGCCCACACACCTGTTCTCTCTAGTGAAAGTGTTACTGACCCCAGGTGAGTTTTCTGCCCTTCACTGTAAGAGTCCCCAGAGCACAGAAATACCAACTTCAGTCCCTGGGCCTAAGGGTAATGCTTTCCTGAGAACAGGCCTCACCCAGAGCATTAGTAATTTCCTTCATTCCCGCTGCAAGTAATTACACTCAAGTATAAGACTTGGCAATCTAGTTGGTTAAAACTTCCCAGTATAAGTAGTCTTACAGCTGCACTTAAGCTTTGTAATAGGGCATTCTAATTTAACTAAAGGCATCTTTCCTTTCTATCTTATGACAACTAAATAAATCTAAGGAAGACAGATAATCTATGATGGAGGAATATGGTACAGCAGATGCTCCTGAGCAGAACCTAGGGCAGATTTCATGCATGCTTTTCTGTGGGTAAACAGAGGAAAGGAAAAGAGGAAAAGCAACAAATAGCTCTTGGCTTTTAAGAACTTAAAGAGTCTTATTACAGACTTAATTTAATTCTGATAGAGTTAGGTTAGGAGCAGCCAGAATTTAATCAGTAACACAAGAGTAATTTAGTTCAGTTCTCAGTATCTAAGTCATATGGAGAAGCTGCTTCAACTGATTAGAAAACCTGTTTTATTAAAAGTTGCATAGAAGCACAAACATTTCAGTGTAGAAAGGCAACAGTTACTTCATCACTCCAGATCATATATCAATGCATCACCAACTTTTACATTCAAAGCTTTTACAGAAATTAAGTAGTTGGGGAGGGTCTAATAGCTGGCCATAATTCTGTGCAATTATTCTAAAAGCAAGTTGCCAGATCTAGAGAAGTACTACTGAGAACTGAAAGTGAGTCATCAGCAAGGGAGTGAAAATAAAAGCCAAATACCATGGGAATTTCTCATGATTAGCTGTTTTTGTGCATCTTTCCAAACCCTTTTGTCAGCAGCATCCCCTCTAGAGCAAACTACTTTAGCAATTCTTTCACGGCATTTACAAGATGATGGACTAAAAGTTGGAACGTGCAATTAAATAAGACTTGCCAACTTACAAGAATTACAGTGTTCACTTCAAGTAATTTTTATTATATACATTCCACGTGTATTTAAACTGTTATTAGTAAAGTCATAACAATGTATAGGTACTTAAAAAAAAAAAAAGACAAAACAGTCAAAGTCATCAAATGCTTGGTCCCCAAAGAATAAAGCAGGCAGTCAGTTCAATAAACACATTTGATTTATTTTGTATAAAAAGGGTTAAGTTTACAACTAAACTTTTATAAAAAGTTTAGCATGATTAAGTACATCATTACACTTTTTGCAGAAATGTACATTTCTGTCACTATACAAGAAAACTCTAATTAAAGAGTTCACAAGGTTTCACTCTCATATATATATATATTTATATATAAATATATACACAGTATTCAGTCCTAGACTTTTGTCAAAAAAGTAATTTTTGACCATAAACTTCACTAAGAAACTGAACACTGGTTCCTTCTGGTACTCACGCTCCACCTTTGGAAAGAAAAGGCAAAGTCTGCTTTAAAATGGACAATTCCTTGTGAGGGTTGTTTTTTTTGTTGTTTTTTTTGTTTGTTTTTTTAAGGTTTCGCTCCCCATATTGGGAATAGTATATAAAGGAAGCCTTCCAACTAGGGAAAGGGCATTTAAAAGTCTCTTCATAAATAAGTTCAGTCCAAGTTGGAGAATTGGTTGAGGAGTAGAGATCAAGCTCTATTTTTCTTCTTTATTAGTTTTTAAAAGGTTCATTTAATTAAGATGTAGATTCCCCCTCCAAATACAGCTGAAAAATAAGTTCAGCACCTTCCAAAAAAAAAAATCCTGTAGACATTTTCTTGTGCAAAAAAAAAAAAAAAAAGAAAAAAAAGAAAAAAAAAGCAAACACCTGCAAAAGATTGAAAAGAGGCGTATTTAGGAGAATGCTAACAGGGCAGAGATCCGGACAGACTGGCGCCAGAGAGGAAGCCACAGTTTGAACATTTAACCAAACACTCAAAGATTGGGCAAACCCTGGCGTCCAGATGCAAAACACACACGCTCTCTCTCCCTCCCCCCCCCCCCTTCCAGAGCACAAATTAAACATTAAAATAAAATACGCTCAAGGGGAGGGGGAGAAAGATCCAATCTCTATTTGGATCTCTGTACATGCACTGCTCAGAGGCGCCAGTCTGCCTCCTACACCAATTATTAGATTAAAAACAGCCACTTATTTAACTGAGAGTGGAGACAATCCCACATCACAAAATTTAAGGGATTATGCCAAGATTCTCAACTAAATCAGCTATTTAGGCCCAGAAAGTTAGGATTTAAGGAACAGTTTTAACAAATTTACATGCAAGTGGTGAGTGACATTGTTCTGATACTGCTTTCCAGTACTTAAAAACAGTTGATGGTACTTCAGCTGGAGAGGCCAGGATGCACTTAAATCTAGTAACTGAATTACTAGTGTAATTTTCATGGAACAATAAGTAAAGGACTCCTCTGATAACCCTGCTTTATGATAAATCAAAAGTTGTCTCGAATCCAATCCCATACACAGCTCTTTCCACCCCAAAATGGAAAACGCCTCAACCCAGTGAAACTATTTGTAACATTTCTTTAAAAAGCAGAGCCACACACACTCACCATTTTACTTAGCCACAAAGTGCTTTGCTGTCATTTGACATTAGCTCTGAGGGGAATTCAGATGCCTGTAAGAAGGGAGAATGTGTAGTGTTAAATATCTTAACAGCAGAAAAAGCATACAAAGTACTGTGTCCTGAAGTTCACTGCATATAACATGCCACGATTTAAATTCAAAATGATGTCTAAGATATAGCTAGGGTTAAGTAGCAATTTTGGTGGAAACCCCATCCATTTCAATCTAAAAGTGATCAGTATTGGTTTTTAACCAAGAGTAACAATTTGTTGTGCCAGTCATCAGTTTTTAGAGACAGACTTCCCACACTGATTTCAAATATTCTACATGGGCCAATGAGCCCAAACAGAGGGAGAGTAAAGCCAAGCGGGGCTGGGTCATTTACCTGTAATGACAGGATGCTGATGTCTGTATTTAGGGTGGTCAGAGGAGTTCTGGAGGAAGAATTTTGTCCTGGTCTCTGATGATGGAGGCTGACAATGCTAGGATGCGAGTCTAAAGCTATCTGCAGGTCTAGGATGTAGTCAATAACGTGCTGCAGGATTTCCATCTTGCTCACTTTCTTGTTCTGGGGGATGCTGGGCACGAGCTCTTTCAGTTTGGAGTAGCAGTCGTTCATGTTGTAAAGCAAACTCATAGGATCATCCACGGGGGTCTTGCTCCGGGATATGCCCAGGTTGTGTTCCGAGAGGCTGCTTTTCCTGACCGATCTCACAGGACTGAAAGCTTTCATGCTGAGAGGCTGGTTTGCAGCGCACAGCACTCTGAAATGTGCCCGCCTGCCTTCCTCTCCGAGCAGCTGCCTGAGCTCAGAATGAAGCGGCAGCCTGCCTGTTCCTGCTTTTATACCGCGGGCTGCGGGGCTGCCAGAGCCAGCCTGTGCTTGCTGCCATTGGAGGCACCCGACATGTCCATCAGGCGACACACACTCACTGCTGCAAATAAAACCTGCAGGACCGTTCAGGCCTTCCGTGTTAGGAGCCAATGTCGGGGCGGAGGCGGGGCTGCGCTGGGCACAGCTGAGGGTAGTAAATACTGTGCGGGAGATGCGGGGAGCGGTCTGCGGAGGCAGGGAGACGAGGTGCGATGGACAGCCTCGCCGGTGTTGCACGGAGCCCTCCGCCCTTTCTCCTGGTTTCGTCATCCCCGTTTTAAACACCTAAGTTGGGTCAAGTTGGAATGGACAAAATAGCACAAATGTAGGGGCCGGCACTGAAAGGCAGGGCTTGGGGACAAGAGATGAGGGTAAGGGCTGGGGCGAGAAACGTATCACTACAAACACGGGGTAGGCAGCATCCGATGTAAGCAAATCACGTTTGCAGCATCCCACGGGTCAGGGAAGCCTGAGATTTCCTGAAAGTTAATTTGAATGATAGTATCTAGCAGCTCTTAAAAGCAGCCCTTCTGTTTCGTAGGGTTTCACACCCGAGTGATCAGGTTTACCGAGCCGCGCGGATGCCCGCACCAAGCGTGCGAGCCGGACACAGCCCGAAACGATCGCTTCCAGACCGGAGCGCGCTAAGCAAAGGCACATCGAAAGCGTGGCCACACGGGTGACTTGTGCCACGCTGCTGATCTTTACCCTAGCGATACATGTGATCCGCTGCTGTACATCATTATGCGGAGACTGTCTCACAAACGTCCATACTTTCATGCGCCGGACTTACCGCAGCTCGGGCTGCGGCTCATAGAAACATTTCAAGCTTACAAACAAGTGTCAGGCAGTGCCGCCTCTGGCCCAGGTCAGCGGGGTCCTGCGATCCCTGCCCCCGCGGGGGACGAAAGCATTTGCTTGTGTCGGGTGCCGCTTCCCCAGGGGAGCCCGATCGTGGGCCAGGGACCGCCCGGGGGAAGAGCAGCGACCCGCGCCCGGCGCAGGCGGCCGGTCCTTGCTGCGTCACCGACAGGGCCCGGACAGGGCAGGGACACTGCGCGGGAGCGGGCCGGCCTGTCCCCGGCTCTCCCTCGCCTGCTCACGAGGTACCTGCCCCGGGCCTGAAGCCGCCGGGAAGGACGAGGCTCGCCCGCCCGTGACTCCGGGCGCAGGCCGGGACGGGGCCGCGCACAGAGCGCGGCTACAAACGCAGCAGCCTCAACCCGGCAGCTGAGCAGGGGCTGGGTTAGGACGAGCCCTCCCTGCCCCGGCCTTCCCCTCGCTTCCTGGGCGGC